GCAAAAATTTCTAAGTCCAAACAAAAAATATTTTTTTTCATAACAAAAATTAATATTTATAATGATTATAAACAATAAAAACGCGTTTTTAACAGAAATGTTTTGACATTTTTTTAAAAATATTGAACTTACATGAGGGCAAATTCTTGAGGGCTCACGCGAGGGGCCCGCATGGATCGCCCACATCATTGACTTGCAAAAATTTCTAAGTCCAAAAAAACAATTTTTTTTTACAACAAAAAATTAATGTTTATAATGATTTTAAACAATGAAAAACACGTTTTTAACAAATATTTAATGTTACTTTTAAAAAAATATAAAACTCACATGAGGGAAAATCCTTGAGGGCCCACGCGAGTGGCCTGCATGGATCGCCCACATCATTGACTTGCAAAAATTTCTAAGTCCAAACAAAAAATATTTTTTTACGTAACAAAAATCAATGTTTATAATGATTTTAAACAATGAAAAACACGTTTTTTTGTTATGGTGTATTAGTGTAAACAATGTTTTATTGAATCATCAAAGCAAGTCAGCTAGTGACCTACTATAAAGAAATAAATTTCAAGTAGGTCCCTTAGCACAGTGGTAAAGTGTTTGTCTGATAGTCCGTAGGTCGTAGGTTCTGTACCCGCGTGCTTCGGAATTTTTTTTTTTGTCACGATTTAATTAAAAAAAGTAAAAATCGTTTAGTAACAATGTTATTTATTAATAATTGAACTTGATTATTATTAATAAATAATTAATTTATTAACTTAATTTTGAAAAATAAAGGTGAGGGTAAGTCGAGGGCAAAGATGAGGGCAAACGCGAGGGCCACGCCGGGGGCCGACGAGGGCGCTCGCGTGGATCGCCCATGCGGGCGCCCTCATCGATCAGCATGTCGTTTCCATGAGGGGCCTCGACTGGATCACCCACGTGGGCCCCTCATGGATGTGGGTGATCCATGCGGGCCCCCGGCGTGGGCCGACACCACTTTTCCACACGGGTAAGTAAATTTTTTTAGGGGATTTCAATTTTTTTTATAAATAGTTAAATTTTTCAGGGGAATTAAATTATTTTTAAAAATTTTTTTAAAATTCTTCATAAAAATTCAATTATTTTCATAAGTAAGAAAATTCTTGTGAGAAATTCAATTATTTCAAAGATCTTAATCAATTTTTTGGAAAGATTTCAATTAATTTCATAAAAGTAATAAAATTCTTCTGCGAGAAATTAAATTATTTTCAAAAATAATAAAATTGTTTGCAAAATTTGAATGATTTAAAAGATTTTAATCAATTTTTTGGGCAAGAATTCAATTAATTTTCTAAATAATAAGATTTTTCTGAAGAATTTAATTTTTTTCAATTAAAATCGATGCAAAAATTCAATTATTTCTATAAATAATAAAATAAATTGTAGAATTTTAATTATTTTTTCATACAATTTTAAATGAATTCCGCGAAAAGTGCAAATATTTTAAAAAAATTTTATTAAAATATATTTATAAAATAAAAAATCTGATTTAAAAACAAAATTCATTTTTTCGAAAAAATTTTTGAATAAAAATAATAGAATTTTCAAATAATTGCAGAAATTCAATTATTTGAAGAAAAAATTCTTGTCCTAATTTCAATAATTTTTAACAAATTTTCTAATTTTAATGATTTTCAATATCTACTATTTTAATAAAATTTCCCAAAGAGAATTCAATTATTTAAAAAAAAGTTTAATAAAATTTTGTGCAAACATTTAATTATTTTCATAAATAATAAATTTTTTTTAAGGAATTCATTTTTTATTTTCATAAAAAATAATTTGAAATTCTAGAAAATAATAATTGAATTAAAATGATGAAAACAATTTTAATAAAGTTACAGTAACAATATTTTTATATAGTATAAAATAATGATTTTATCTCTCGATCATCTTTAAGGTATTTGTCGCGCGACTGGTCACTGTCAAAAGTTTGTATCCGTTGACTGTACTTATGAAACGATTATGAATGCGAGTTTCTGAAAAACTTTTGCGGACGTACAGTTTGACACACAGATGTTCTCAAAGTATATTCATAACCTCTCGCATGAAAAACGATCGTGGCAACGTCGCAAGTTTGGCGTATGGCCGTCTTTAAAATTTCGCGCCAAAAGTAGCAGACAAGCTGTAGTATTTAACAAGCGCTATTGCCACGTTTACAAATTCACCTGTCATTTACAGTAAATGTTAAAATAATTTTTCAAGTTTGATGTTAAATATCTTTTAAACAAGACGGTGAAAAATTTTCATTTTTTTTATAAAAGTTCATTTTGGTTCAATAAATAAAACTTTAGTTTTTCTAAAAAATCTGTCGATTAGTATAAGTGCAAACATTAAAAATCTGTGGTTTTCATATGGTTTTCCTATACCGTACATGTTAAAAATCGAAACTTTGATTTCATTTTTTGAGACTTACAGACGGTCAATTTTATTTTAATAGGCCTTATTTTGTAGATAAATATCCAAAGAATAATTATGTGAAATTTAAAAAAATTCTGTCGAAAACGAATTTACGCGACAAATACCTTAATTATTATAAAACATGAAGATATCGATTGCTCCGAGTCGAAGACTCGGAGTGTTTGATTTCTTCATGTTTTATAACAAATTCCTGTGGTAAATCCTGTTCAAAAAAAAAAAAGATTAAAAATAAGATTTGTGCAAATTTTTTTCTTCTTTTTCTAAAACAAAATAATAATTTTGTTTAACAATTTTCTAATTTTCCTTAGAAGTAAAGAACAAAAATAATTTCAATTTGACAAAACATAATATTTAAGAAAATTTTAGTTTTTTGTGAAAAAAATTCTGATGATTTCTATTTGTGATTATAATTTCGAATTAATTATTATAAAATAAAAATAATTATAACATAATAATATAATATGTATACAATCTATCTAATGTTAATAAAAAAAAACAAAAGTATAAATAAAAGACAACTTCAGAGTGTGAGGGACAGAAAAAGTGAATGAATGAAAGAATGAAAGAACATTCAAATTAATATAGTTAATTTCCTTTTTAATAGTAACACTGAAGATGATCAGCGTCGATCTGATCGAAAAGCTTTTGTAACAATAAATGTTTATAAATAATTGACTTGACAAGAAACTATAACCTTATACCTCTAGTAAATATATTCAGCCACAAGTCGAAACTACAGCTACATCTAATTATAATTAGAAATCAACTTAATCAACATAATTAGAAGTCAACTTGAAAACTTGATATTTATTTAATATTGAAATACAAAAAATTGAATTTTCAGAATGAGACTTTATAAAATTCCCTGACATTTCCAGATTTCCTAGGTCCCGCTTATAGCATCTTAGATCGAAATTTGGATTCCCAATAATAGTTAACTACATCACCGTGATATATCATCGGTCATCTCACGAAGTAGTATAAGGAGATCCAACGAGCGGGAATTTGCAGTAAAACCATGAAGTAAGCCAAATGATAAGCAGATGTAAGCCATACTTCTCGCTCCTTATGCTCCTACATGTAATTAACCATTCGAACAAATAACTTTTCGAATATTTGACGATTCGAATAGATGGTGCTTCGACCACTTGACCATTCGAGCAAATATCGTTACGATGTTTTGACCCATCTACACGGAAACAATTTTTCACCTGGAATAGCTACAAATTTCATCATATTAGCGAAATTTTTAGTTGTTTCAATTAATACTTTTGCTATTCTAGAGAAACTTATCGCTGTTCCAGGTAAAGATTTTTTTCCGTGTACAAGTTGGCGCTTCGACAATTTGTCCATTCTTCCTTTTAGCTTTTCGTGGAAAATACAGCGTCTCCAAATGACTTTCCACTACTTGACAATTCAAACATTTGGCGCGTTTAACCATTCAAACAAATCGACGCCCCCCGACTGTAAAATGTTTATTCGAATCTCCGTGCAATAAAATGTTAACTCAGAAATTCGTGATGTATAATTGTTTTTAAAAATTTCATGCAATATAATGTTAACTCAAGTTGCATTCAATAAAATGTCAATTCAACCACCAGTGCAATACAATGTTATTTAAAATACTAAAATTTTTATTTCCAGCCTTTAAATTGTATGAGGTTAAATTAGATTATTAATTTATTTATTAAATTACTTAAATAGATTGAAGTTGCAACTGTTGACAGCACAATAATATTCGTATAGTTCCTTATTTATGGGTTAAGTTTTTATAAAAAAAGTCAGTAATGCAGAATGTTGAATAAAAGATTATTTTTTTATGGTGAAATATCTGCATAGTTTTCCACTCTTTAGACAAACAGTTTGGTTTTTCTTCAGCAGACCAATTGGTTGAAAAAAAGAGTTATTATATATGTACAGCGTTAAAAACTGCTACAAAATGGAAAACTAAATTCAAAAAAGGGACTGTTAAATTAATTTTAATATTTTTAAATATTTATAATTTTAATAAAAATAGTTTTCAAAGTTAGAATTAAATAAATTTTATTCTTTCATTTTCCTAATTAATTTAGTAGAAGTAAAAAATATTTATAACATAACTTTTTCACTTTCGCAAGAAAAATTCACTAATTATGTTTTTCTTTAACCTCATATAATTTAAAGGCTAGAAATAAAACTTTTAGTATTTTCAATAACATTATATTGCACTGGTGGTTGAATTGACATTTTATTGAATGCAACTTGAGTTAACATTATATTGCATGAAATTTTTAAAAACAATTATACAGCACGAATTTCTGAGTTAACATTTTATTGCACGGAGATTTGAATAAACATTTTATAGTCGGGGGGCGTCGAAATAGCTCTTCGGCTACTAGATGTTTCTAACAGATGATGCTTCGTTACAAATAAGACTACATTAATTCTATTGCGATCAAATATGGATCATCTCTTTGGAAATTTTATAAGATTTGCGAATCTGTTCTTTAAATGTTTCTAGCTTCATTTGTCGCCGATTTGAAGATAGTTATGTTTTAATACTGCCATTATATATAACCCACCTGTCGCTAAGATAATTATCCATTATCCGCAACAAGTAGGGCGGCATGTTTTTCTTTTTCTTCTTCTTCTTCTTCTTAATTTGATGGCTTCGACAAGTCAGGCCAATTCTAGATATGTTATACAGTAATTTTCGTAATAAATGTTTTGTTTCAGTCTCGGTTTAATATAGATTTTTGTTATAGTGTTTGAGGTTACTTTGGAGGTTAAACCAAGGTTGGTAAGTGGAGGTAGTTTTGAACTTTATCTGACTTCACCAATTTTTACTTTGTTATTCTTCCACATAGCATTGACTGCATGGGAGGCGCCGTTTTGAGAGACCTCCTAATGGTATGGCGGAATCGTGATGTAGACTTTCGTTGAGATGGGTAAAAAAAATCAGATAAAAAATTTCTGTTGGCAAACAAAAATCCTCCTTATTAAGTTGGTATATTAGTAGTTGAGTTGGTTTGTTTGACAAAAAGAAAAAAAATAATTTTGTCTTTCTTTTCTTATTTCTTTCTATAAGTGAGTTTATTTAGTATTCCTGTCGCTTAGTCAGTTTTATGCATTTATGTTTTGTTACAAGGTATTTAGGAAGGGGGAAAAAAAAACTAGGATAAAGTCACTAGAATATCGATTAAGTTTGACTCATTTGAATCAAGCAATACAGATACCTGATCGAACCGAGAACTTATAACAATAAAAGAAAAGGATAATTTAATTACTCGATATATTATTTAAATTATTTATATACATATTTTCCTCCCTTTCCCCTTCTACTTTTCCATTTTTTTATTTATTTTTTTTCTTTTATTTTATCTTTTTTTTTTTTTAAATAAATGTTATATTCTATAATTGTATTTTGGTTTGGATTTCTGAATTTTATTATATACAGTTTGTTTTCTCTCCTCTTTTACTATCAATCAGTTATTTATTGCAGATATATATTAAGTTTTAGGTTCTTAAATTTGTTGATCGGATTACTGAGTTAATTAGTTAGTTCTCCAATCAAGTCTTTGTTATACCCCGAGTCTCTCTGATGCTCGAGTGCTTCTTTGTTTTATTAATACAAATTTCTAAAATAATACTCTTAAATTCCTAGATTACTTAATCTAAATTCTATTTATTATTAGGCACCTTAAGAATAATGATAATCAACTTATGAATTACAAATGTTTTGAACTAGGTAAATGTTAATGAACAATAAATAAAAAAGACAAATAACAATGTACAGGGGAAGATAAAAAGTAAATAAAAACTTAAAAATAAAGAAAACCCAGGTGCGAATTTTGGTCGGCCGCCAGAGTTGGAAGGTCGGGCGCAGGTCGGCCCATCTATGGCTGCCAATAGGTCGGCAGCCAAAGTCGGGCCGACTTTGGTTACTGTTTCCACCCAAGTTTGGGCCGACTATGGGTGCCAAAGTTTAGAGAACCTAATTTTAGTTGGTCGGGCCGACTCTGGCCTCAGTCGGGCCGATGGTCGGTAAAACTATGGCAGCCAGAGTTTAGAGAACCTAATTTTAGTTGGTCGGGCCGACTCTGGCCTGAGTCGGGCCGATGGTCGGCTAAAGTATGGCAGCCAGAGTTTAAAAAGGTTAATTTCTGTTGGTCGGGCCGACTCTGGCCTGAGTCGGGCCGACGGTCGGTAAAACTATGGCAGCCAGAGTTTAGAGAACCTAATTTTAGTTGGTCGGGCCGACTTTGGCCTGAGTCGGGCCGATGGTCGGTAAAACTATGGCAGCCAGAGTTTAAAAAGGTTAATTTCTGTTGGTCGGGCCGACTTTGGCCTGAGTCGGGCCGATGGTGGGTTAAACTATGGCAGCCAGAGTTTAAAAAACCTAATTTCAATTGGTCGGGCCGACTCTGGCCTGAGTCGGGCCGACGGTCGGTAAAACTATGGCAGCCAGAGTGCAAAAAACCTAATTTCACTTGGTCGGGCCGACTCTGGCCTGAGTCGGGCCGATGGTCGGTAAAACTATGGCAGCCAGAGTTTAAAAAGGTTAATTTCTGTTGGTCGGGCCGACTTTGGCCTGAGTCGGGCCGATGGTGGGTTAAACTATGGCAGCCAGAGTTTAAAAAACCTAATTTCAATTGGTCGGGCCGACTCTGGCCTGAGTCGGGCCGATGGTGGGTTAAACTATGGCAGCCAGAGTTTAAAAAACCTAATTTCAATTGGTCGGGCCGACTCTGGCCTGAGTCGGGCCGACGGTCGGTAAAACTATGGCAGCCAGAGTGCAAAAAACCTAATTTCACTTGGTCGGGCCGACTTTGGCCTGAGTCGGGCCGATGGTGGGTTAAACTATGGCAGCCAGAGTTTAAAAAACCTAATTTCAATTGGTCGGGCCGACTCTGGCCTGAGTCGGGCCGATGGTGGGTTAAACTATGGCAGCCAGAGTTTAAAAAACCTAATTTCAATTGGTCGGGCCGACTCTGGCCTGAGTCGGGCCGATGGTGGGTTAAACTATGGCAGCCAGAGTTTAAAAAACCTAATTTCAATTGGTCGGGCCGACTCTGGCCTGAGTCGGGCCGACGGTCGGTAAAACTATGGCAGCCAGAGTGCAAAAAACCTAATTTCACTTGGTCGGGCCGACTTTGGCCAGAGTCGGGCCGATGGTCAGTTTGAAGTTGCAGCTTATAAAATCATTTTTGTTCTTAGGCTTTCATGTAAGCGTAGCGTAATGGTTAGCGTGTTAGACTTCGGTGCGTTAGGTTGCGAGTTCGATTCCTGCGAGCGTTAGAAATTTTAATTTGTATTTATGTGTAAGATTGCGTTTAGTGTTAAGATGTATACAATAAACAAATAAATAATGAATAATAATAATTAATAATAATAATAAATAATTAATAATTTTTTGCAATCGGTCGGCCGACTTTTGGCTGCCAAGGTCGGCACGACCAAGGTTGCCAAAGTGAATCCGACCTTCTTTCTCATGGTCGATAAAGCTTTGGCACCCCTGGTCGGCCCGACTTTGGCAACCATAGTCGGCACGACCATGTCAGCCACTGGACGGCGGGTGTTACAATTCGCTAGTTCGGCCGACCTTTGGCTGCCAAGGTCGGCACGACCATGGTTGCCAAAGTCAAGCCGACATTCTTTCACATGGTTGGCAAAACTTTGGCACCCCTGGTCGGTCCGACTTTGGTAGCCATAGTCGGCCCGACCATGTCAGCCACTGGACGGCGGGTGTTACAATTCGCTAGTTCGGCCGACCTTTGGTTGCCAAGGTCGGCACGACTATCCACTTGGTCGGCGCGACCATGGCCCGACCAACTTTTCGCACCTGGGAAAGAGGCCAATCACAAACAGATCTTTCAAATTGATCAATTGTTTCCCCTTCTTTCCTTCTTAACTCAATCATATTACAATATCATCATCAAACAAAAAGTTACTGATTTCAGCAACTGACTTCATTGTTGGTTTAAATAGAAGAAGGTTCCATTGTGCAATTTCAACTCTCCTTGTTCTAAATTTACTGAAGAAGAAGTTTAAGAAACTTCTGCTCTTTTCATTGAACAAGGGACAATCGTTAATGTAATGTAAAACTGAACTCATTTCAAACCCACATCTGCATGTTGGAGAAACATTCCACCCCAGTTTGTGGAAAAGCTCTCCCACGTAGTGATGCACGTCGGACAAGATGATCGAGAAATTACAATTACGAGAAAAATGATCGTCTTTTTATTTAATAATATCGTTCAGATCGTTATAAATTTGACAATCTCGACGAATTGTCGATCAAAGTTTTTTTAATAAATTGAAATTACTACTAAAAAAAATATTGTTTTTCAATATCTATTGGCTAATTTTCAAAATGAAATCAATTCATACAATAAATATTTACAGTATAACTTTAAATTTAAATAAATATTTTATATATTATTAAAAATTATTAGTAATTAATTATATTTTAACACAATCAGATTTAAATAGATTTTGATAATAAAATTTTTTTTAACTTTTTATTATATTATTTATAATATAATTTTTTATAATTTTTTGTACTCAAATTTTTCAAAATATCTACATTTAACTTAATTTTTATTTACAAAAAATAATTATATTTTGTATATATATTGTACATATATTAATATTGATACGTTTTCTTATTTGAAGGGTGACATGACAAAAAGGGTTAAGTGAAAATTTTTCAAAATTGATATTTTTTATAAAAAAAATCAGGTAAATTTATTTACACAGTTCTGTAAAAAGATTTTCTTGTCAATTGCTTTTAAACTCGTTTATATTAAAAATAAGAATCAAAAATATTATTGTGAATATAAGTTAATATGGTTTAAAATATTGCTTTCTTTTTGATATCATTAAATATATTAAATTTCGCTGAAAAATTTTATGTCTATTTAGAAAGTTTTATTCTTTATCTAATTTTGAACAATCTAAATATTGTTCTTCTGTTAATTTTTAAATATTTCTGTTTGTAGTTTGCATTTAAAAATGTTGGTACCTACTGTTTACTTTCAAAAGTAAACATTTAATTAACAATTTCTTCAGAAAACAAACATTTTTTTTAAAACAGACTTTTTTGCAATCAATTTTTTAATTCAATATTCAAAAACAAACTTCTTAGTTTTTCTTTAAATTATAAATTTATTTAACAATTAATTTTATAAAAAATATGCGCATTTGACGTAACCCCAAAATGGCCCACTTTTACTTATTTTTCTCACTAATATGTAGATTTATCTTCAAAAATTGTATTTCCACCGGTAAAGCGCACTAATATTTTGAAGCAGTTTTATTAGACTTCTTCTTAAATGAGCAGGGAAATTTTTAAATGTATTTTCGTTTCCTGTAAAATCATGAAATTATAATTTTCCACCTTTTGTCATGCCACCCTTCATTTGTAATATAATTTAATGTCATCAAGAATCAATTTTTGTCGAACGAAACGAGCCGAACAAAAACAAAGAAAAATCAAAAATATCGTTTCCTTGAAGTTCGTTTCAACCGAGAAGATTCGAACGATGTCGAGCATTTATCGGTTCGACGTGCATCACTACTCCCACGCATACGTGCCCCGTCCTGAGTCTAGTTATGAGATTTATGGCTCTTCTAGATAAGTCGTATCCAGTGAACCATGGTCTATCAGTTTTGTTGGTTATATAATGGAAGTATACCTGTCGAGTTCTGGTTACCGGGAAAAAAGGCCAGTCCAATTTGACTGTTGATCTATGATCATTATTTATCATGTTTTTTAAGTCATCCTTAGAGCCGGGATCCAAATTAGTTTAATTTCTTGGTTGTTTCCCAACAACTGTGTTATCATTGACGCTATCTCATGGACCAAGATCCTTGACTTTAATGAGCCCAATCTGTCCTTCAGTATCTGAAGAGTGCTTAGAGAGTCTGTTAAAATAAGGGGGTTTGTGATGTTTTTAGGGTTCCGTACACCT